GAAGGATGCAACCACCCTCTTTGAATTGCTTTTAGAGTGGCAATGGCTTCCAAACCTCCAGCAGCACCAAGGCAGTGCCCTATCATGGACTGAAAAGTAATGACAACCAGAAAAGGCATCAGCAAACCAATGGATGGCTTAACAATAATATATTGCAACCATGATGGGTAGGGAGGAAGAAGAAGCGTTGCCTTGGTCGCATTAATTTTGAGCTCTGATGTGTTCTTAAACACCTTCTTGATGGCTTTAATCTCAGTTAAGTCACCAGCAATGGTGGATGTTGCATGTGCATTAATATAGTTAACCTACAAATGAAACCAACATACATGAAATCACTACACTATTCACTAAGAAACAGAATAAAAAGATGGGATTGGGCAACCTCCTCAGGCGATACGCCAGCATCTTCAAGACAGCTCAAGATGCACGAAGACACACAAAGCCCATCACCTCTTGGATCCGATATGTGATAAGCATCACAATTAATAGCCCCTCCTAAGTATTCACCAATAATTGGTGCACCTCGTTTCATTGCATGCTCCAAACTCTCCATTACCTGTCAGCGTCACGAGTCTCCATAATGATACGATATTATCCACTTTGAGCATAAACTCTCATTGACTTTGTTTTTAACCTACGATCATTTCCTAAATTAACCTATCTGAGACAACCTCCTACAATCCTCCCCTACAATCCTCAACAATTCTTCTGATATTTAATACTAAATTATAGTTTACCATATATATCATATTTGATATTTTAATAAAGACAAATATCTTTACCATAGATATGTTTTTTTCATTTATTATTATTTCTACATCTATGTAATTTATTTGATTATAAATAGAGAACTTTCACACACCATTTAGGTGTGGTAAATTAAGCAAACATTCACGAACAAAATACACTATAGAGTCTCCTCTAAGGTCTATGGAGCCCTCAAACAGCCTTCCCTTAATCAAGGCTCGACTCCTTCTCTAGAGTTTTCGAACAGAGTATACTCTTTGTTCGACACTTGAGTTACTTTTGACTATACTTTCGAGTCTCACAACTTATTTGTTTGACATTTGAAGATTCTATTAACATGGCTAAGTTAAGGGCATGGTATGATATTCACCGAAAAACAAAACAAGTGAAAAGCTCACCAGTACGCCAGCGCCTTCTCCCGCAACAAAGCCATCACGATCTATGTCCCATGGCCTGGAAGCAGTTTTAGGATCATGATTTCTCTTAGATAAAGCCCCACAAGCAGCTAAACCCCCCATTCCAATAGGTATGATACCAGCTTCAGAGCCACCCGCAAGCATCAGATCAGCTTGTCCTCGACGGATGTGATTGGCAGCAGTATAGAAGCAATAGTTAGAGGTGGCACAGGCAGTGGATATAGAATAAATAGGACCCATGAAGCCAATATCGATGGCAAGTAAGGCAGACCCCATATTTGTAATGCTATAAGGAACGAAAAAAGGGGTTATCTTTCTATGACCTCTCTCTAACAAAGTCTGAATACCATCGGATAAAACTGTAAGGCCACCCATCCCTGTCCCAACAAGCACACCAGCACGCGCCTTGTTCATCTGTACTAAAAATTAAATTAGCTATTAACTAAAATTATTAATATAATTAATTAATTCTGATAAGTTAAATTATATTGCTAAAAATTCATTTATAATCAATTATTTATTTATTGGGACTAATTTTGATTAGTTTATCCAATATTAATATATCAGAATTTTTAAACATAATTAATCGATTTAAATTATATTAGTAATTAATTATAACGAATTACAATGAATTAAATAACTATTGAAATAATTAAATAATTAAATATGTATTTAATGCATTTTAAAGAAGGGAAAATACCAATTAACAAACTTATTTACTACAATCATAATAAATTATTCAATCAAAATGATTATTTCATTATTATTTATTTATTATTTAGTGGATTTAGAATTTTTTTTTTTTTTTGGTGATATTTTGAATTAATTTTAATTGCTTTATTAATTCACTTATTAGAATTATGTATAAAGCTATCGTAATTAATTTGATAAAATAAATATACTCTTATTTCATCCTTAAGCATGTTGGATGATAAAAGTCTCACGTCCGCTGATTTAGAGAATAATCATGGGTTTATAATTAAAAATAATCTCTCCAATCTAACGAGGCCTTTTGTGGAAGTCTAGAGCAAAAGCTATGAGAGCTTATGCTCAAAGTGGACAATATCATGCCATTGTAGAGAGTCGTGTTCGTCTAACATGGTATCAGAGTCATGCCCTAAACTTAGTCGAGCCTGGATTAAGGGATTAAGGGGAGCGTATGATGAAAGTCCCACCTCGGCCATTGGAAATGGAATGAGGCCTTCATGAGTTTATAATCGAAGAATACTCTCTCTATTCTAATGAGGCTTTTTGAGAATCCCAAAACAAAGCAATGAGAGCTGCCTTTTGAGAATCTCAAAACAAAGTCACGAGAGCTTATACTTAAAGTAGAAAATATTATACCATTGTAATCATACCATTGTGGAGAGTATCGTACCATTATGGAGAGTAGTGATTTCAAACAAAGCAAACACTAAGAAGAAGCAAAAGGAAGGACCTTAGAGAGCTGATCTCCACGGAAGCCAGCATCCTCGAGTGCCTTCTTGCCAGCAACAATGCAGTAGCGAAAGCAATCATCAAGCCGTTTATCATTCTTCGGGTTAACGTAGCCCTCCGAACAGAATCCCCTGATCTGCCCACCGAAGCGTGTAGGGAATTTGGAAGCGTCAAAGCGATCGATGAGAGTGATACCGCTCTCACCACAAAGCAGCCTGTCATAGTAAGCATCCACGTCGCTGCCGAACACAGAGACAAGCCCCATTCCAGTTATCACCACACGCTTCTTGGGGTCCTTCTCCCGTTTGGGCGCACCGACAGTGGAAGCCGCAGATGCAGCGACCACACAGACTCGTCGCCTGGATTTTGAAGCAGCGCCAACGAGGAAGGGGGAGCGGTTGCGGGTGCGAAATGGGTCCAATGGCGAAGGCTTGAGCGTGGGGGAATGAAAGGCCTGCATGGTGCTCGGTGCTGGAAAATTGCAATTTTGAGTGTCACACCCAAAGATCAAAGCTTCTTATTTGCTTGTTGATGGCTTGACATTAAATAGTCCAATCAATGTAGGCTGGATCAAAATATCAAAAATTTAAATATTTTATTTCCCAAATTTATTTTTATTACAAAAAGGTTTAGGTATTGGGATTTCAACTTGGAGTTCAAAAGGAATAAATATATTTTAATTGCTATGGTAGGTTCGTGTTAAATTTTAATACAATTTAAAATTATGTCAACTATTAAGATCTTTTTAAAGATAGATCTTTGGTGATATATTAAAAGTAAATAAATGACACTTTTATTTACTTTTACTTCCATTATAAAAGTGGGGAAATCGAATCTTAAATATACATAAATGACACTTTTATTATGTATTAAAAAATTAGTTAAATTAATAAAAATAATCATAAATTTTGTACGTAATAAAACCTTTAAACTCTAAAAGAAAAAAAAAAAAAAAGGTGAAAATTATTAATATTTTTCAAAAAGTTTAAAAAATATCTTGAAGAGCGCTAAAATAACATTGAGCTTCCGAAAATTTCATTCATACCCTTAAAAAAAATTAAAAACTTTAAGAAAATGCCTTTAAACTTTTTTAAAAAGTTCGAAAATACTCTTACGGTTAATCTATGGATGAAACCGTTAGTCTTACGTTTCAAAATATATTCATGAACTTTCAAGAGTAACATTAATACCCTTCCACTTTTAAAACTTTATAGGTATTTTTAAACATCATATTAATGGTATTGATATTTTAACTTTTAAAAAGTTTGAAAGGTATTAATAGAACATTAGGTATTTTTTAAAACATTATTAAAAGTTCAGTAGTATTTTTTAAATAAAATACTAATAATTTTAATTTTTTAAATAAAATACTAATAATTTTAAACCAAAATTATCTGAAGATAAAGGTATTATTGGACTTCGATACAAGTACAAAATTTGGAGGTATTTTTAATAATTTAACCTACAAAACTAATTGTCATTTAAATGTTGAATTTATTTTGAATAAAAGTATAATTAAATATTTAATTGCATTTATACGTGTTTTTTTTTTCTTCCAAAATTCCTTCAATAAAAGTTGCCTCATTTGCTTTTGCTTTGCCTTTAAATGAAAATTTTGAATAAAAAAAATGAAAAATGAGAAATAATTAAGCTAAAAGTTAACATAAAAGAGAGAAAATTAAAAAGTGAGTAACCGTTCAGGTATTAAATAAAAAAAATGAAAAATGAGAAATTATTAACCTAAAAGTTAGATAGAAAATCAAAGAGTAACTTTTCATATATAAATAAATAGTATTTGTCGGTATATTAATGTTAAAAAAAAAAATTTAACTTTTTTCAACGTCAAGAATATTAATGGTATTTTTTAAAATTATGATGTAATTTAGAAATATAATTTTGTTCATATATAAATAATATATTTTCCGACTTCTTAAAATTATTAAGAGTATTAATTATTTTTTTAATTTTAAGGATATTTTAAAAACTTTAATTAATACCCTTAATAAAAAAAATAATTTTTTTAAAATTGAAAAACTTGTTAAAAAGTTAAGGTATAATATAAATTTAAAAAATTAGATGATCTTTTTGTAACAAAATACCAAGCATATCTAATTATGAATATATATATATATATATATATATATATTTTTTTTTTTTAAGTTACTATTCAAACACTTACAAAACACCAAATTTCTAAGTGTACTATTTCCAAAAAGAAAAAAAAATTTAAGGCAAAAATTATAACCTTTTTATAATTTAAATTTTATAATTCTATTTTTAGTTTCTTCATCATCAAAGTGTCTATTTTGATAACTGAATTATAAAGAAACACACTTGAATGGAGGTAGCTGAAAGAAGAAGCTCGTTCATTATTATAACATTTTTTTATGGAATTCTTGATAAAAACATGGCTTATGGTTTGAATGCAGTGAATGCCACGACCGAGTTATGTCCTCCAAATCCGAATGAATTTGAGAGAGCTGAAAACACAGAATTACAAAACTTCATTACTAAACTGGTATGCTGGATTTTACTCAACTGGTAATCCCCAGTGCTTAGCCAACTTACCAACATTCACCTCGTGTTGTTGCTTTATGTTTGCGACGGTGTCTAAATCAACTGAAGGCTCCAGATTCTACGCTCAAATGGAAAAAAATAATATATATTGTTCATATTCTTGGGATGACATCTTAATCAAGCAAACAAGTCCGAAATGAACGTGAGACTCACAAATGATTCTAATCGCTCTACGTCTATAACATCTCAAAATTTGGATTTGACACTTGATGGCCACTATTTTCTCCTGTGGGACTGTATGACCAATTACTTACCTCCTTGTCTTGAACTACTTTTAAGAGTAAAAAACTATCCCTACAAACCAATATAAGTCTTTTTACCATGGGTTGTATTTACTCACATAGAATTGCTTCAATAACTAAGCCACCGAAAAAAAAAAGTTACACATTGTTGATATTTGTAGTAATTTCATATTGTTGTAAACATTTTGTAATCGTCATAATTATAGGATAACTCTCATCCAAATGTAGTCTTAATTCATTAACTTACCACTTCTTTACTCAGGCGTCACATGAACTTGGGTGTTAGGTCATTACAAGTGGTATCAAATCGGTCTCTCCCAGCAGAAACTAGTGAACATGTGATATTTAAGTAAAGAAGAGGTACATAAATGAACTGAAATTATATCTAAATGAGAGCGATCTTGAAGATAAAAAAGTTGAGAAAAACTTAAAAAAGAATTGAAGTTTCTACCCCAAATAAGTGTGTTTTGGTTAGAGCAATACTATGTTGATCCTCTCTTATAAATTTTCCTATGAAACATGTGAGTGAAACTCAAATATCCTAAAACATTTGTGTTCATTTGTGGGGATAATAATCTTCACTCATAGTAGCAACAAGCAGGTTACGCGGTCATGGCTCAAGCGAATATCGATTCATCAAATACCGCATCTGAATTTAAAATGAAAAGGGAAACATACAAATTGATTGATGGAAGGATGCAACCATCCTTTTTGAATTGCTTTCAAAGTGGCAATGGCTTCCAAACCTCCAGCAGCACCAAGACCGTGCCCTATCATAGACTGAAAAGTAATGACAAACAAGAAGAAAAAAAAAAGCATCAGAAACAATGCAGCCATGTGGTGAATGGTGCATAGGGTGGGTAGGAAGGAAGAAGAGAGGTTGCCTTAGTCGCATTGATTTTGAGCTCTGATGTATTCTTAAACACCTTCTTGATGGCATTTATCTCAGCTAAGTCACCGGCAATGGTGGATGTTGCATGTGCATTAATATAGTTAACCTGTAAATCAAAACACCCTTTGAACCTATTCACCAAGAAACACAACAAAAACATGGAATTGTGAGCAACCTCCTCAGCCGATACGCCAGCATCTTCAAGACAGCTCAATATGCACGAAGACACACAAAGCCCATCAGCTCTTGGATTGGATATGTGATAAGCATCACAATTAATAGCCCCGCCCAAGTATTCGCCAACAATTGGTGCACCTCGTTTCATTGCATGCTCCAAACTCTCCATTACCAATATGCCAGCGCCTTCTCCCATAACAAACCCATCACGATCTCTGTCCCATGGCCTGGAAGCAGTTTTAGGATCATCATTTCTCTGAGACAGAGCCCTACAAGCAACAAAACCCCTGTGAATGTTTGCTGAATCCACCACACCTAAATGGTGTGAAAGTTATCTTATTTATAATCAAATAAATTACAAGGATATGGAAATAGTAATAAATGGAAATAACAATAAATGGAAAGATACCTATAGTAATAAGGCAAATGTTAGATATTTGCCTTATAATAAAATATCAAATCTAATATATATGGTAAACTATAATTTATTACTAAATATCCTTAACACCCCACCGCAAGCTAAGCGTCGGATTTAAACGAACGTGAAGCTTGAATCTGAAAAATTCAAAGAGGTTGAGAAACACTTTTCGCGAAGATGTTAACAACTTGGTTCAGAGGAGGCGTAGAGAAACACTTTCTTGGCCATCGAAAACTGCAGAGAGATCGCTGCTCAGCGGCAATGCTGCCTTGGCTTCGGTGAGAATATGTCTAACCCATGAAGAGGGATTGTCGCTTAGCGACGATGCTGACTTGGCTCTGGTGAGAATATGTCTAACCCCAAGAAGTAGAAGGGGAAACCTAGAGCAAGGGACAAAGACAATGTTGAAGCCGGAAGAGTCGCCACATTGGGCGAATGAGCCAATTTTGGCGAGAAGGGCAGCTGGAAGAGTCACCACATTGGGGCGAAGGAGCCAATTTTGGCGAGAAGGGCGGCGGCAACTTGGTTGGCGAAGATGCCAGTGCGGCGCCCAGATTCCAAAGGTAAATCTCTGCAGAAGGTCGATGGGCTTATTGAGATTCTGTATATTTTCGAAGAGGGATGCTGATGAAGATCCTAAGATTAGGGTTTTTGCGAAGGATGAATGATGAAGGGAAAAATTGGGAAGAAATTGAAAGAGGCTATGTTTAGAAAAGGTGAGGTTGTATGTACAGAGTATGGCGAAGGATGATTTGGAGGTCAAAAAGGTGGAGCCGAAGAATAATCAATCGACTCTGCATGTGACAGCCATGACGACTGCCCCTGCGGCATCAAAGACAACAATGGTGGTGGAGAAGAACAGTAGAAGATTTCAAAAGCCATTGAAAAGAAAGGATCTAGGTTNAAAAAGGGGTTATCTTCCTATGACCTCTCTCTAACAATGTCCGAACACCGTTAGAAAAGACGGTAAGACCACCAAACCCTGTTCCAATAAGCACACCAGCACGCACCATGTTGATCTATGGTAAAAATAAAACCATAAATTAATCATAATTTACCAAACTATATATTAAAGAAATGGAATTAATTCTTAACTAAAAATATTTGGAATATATTTAATTAGTTAATTAGAATTAATTAAATTAAGTTGCTAAAATTTTGTTTTTGTTGAGATATTTTATGTATGGAATATATCTTAGATATTTATCTTAGTATTCTTTGATTTGATTTGATTTTATTCTCAGTTATTTAATTATTTTATATTTTACTGATGTGTACTGGTATCCTATTTAAAGAATACCAATATCAACTACAATACACACCTCCTAAATTCTATTTTCTATCTCATTTTTTACTGTTTTCAATAATTACAGCTAATTACTTTATGGATTATTTATAACCAATAGTTAATTAGGAAATGACCTTAGAGCGCTGATATCCACCGAGGTTAGCATCCTCGAGCGCCCTCTTGCCAGCAACAACGCAGAAGCGACAGCAATCGTCAAGCCGTTTATCATTCTTGGGGTCAACGTAGCCCTCCGAAGAGAATCCCCGGATCTGTCCACCGAAGCGTGTAGGGAATTTGGAAGCATCAAACCGGTCGATGAGAGTGATGCCGCTCTCACCACAAAGCAGCCTGTCATAGTAAGCATCCACGTCGCTGCCGAACACAGAGACAAGCCCCATTCCAGTAATCACCACACGCTTCTTAGGGTCCTTCTCCCGCTTGGGCGCACCGACAGTGGAAGCCGTAGATGCAGCGACCACAGAGACACGTTGCCTGGATTTTGAAGCAGCGCCAACGAGGAAGGGTGAGCGGTTGCGGGTGCGAAATGGGTCCAATGGAGAGGGGTTGAGCGTGGGGGAATGAACGGTCTGCATGGTCGAGAATGCAACAGAGAGGAGAGGAAAGGCAGTCAGTAAGTATTCCCGTAATGTACGCCTCCCTTTGTATATGCATATCAATGGTTTGACATTAAATACTCCCATCAATACAAAATAATATTAGCATTTAAGCAACTTATTTAAACCCACATTAAAGACGTTTTAAAAGCTTTATTTTTTTTCGTCTTAAATAAATTCATTGTATAGGATAAAATTATTTTTACATATTATAAAGTAAATTGGGAATATTGTTAGAATAATGCGTTATCTATATACTATAAACAAGTTACTTAGAACATTCATCCGTTGGTATTATCAACTATAATTCTTAAAATATTAAACGTGAACAAATACACGAGAATGGAGGCAGGTGAAAGAAGAAGCTTCTTCATTATGGTAACATTTTGATGGAAATCTTGATAAGAATGTGAACAAAGCGTCATCGCACGTGAGATTAAGAGGGCTTATGGTTTGAATGCTGTGAATGCCACGACCGAGTTGTGTCCTCCAATTCCGAATGAATTTGAGATAGCTGGAAACAGAGATGGAATCACATGAACTTGATTACTAAATTGGTTCGTTGGGCAATCCCCAATGCTTAGCCAACTTACCAACATTCACTTCGTGTTGTTGCTTTATGTTTGCAACGGTGTCTAAATCAACTGAAGGCTCCGGGTTCTATAATCAAATGGGGTAAAAACATTGTTAATATTCTTGTGATTACATCTTAATGAAGCAAACTATGAGGGCAAGTTGAATTGGATAGTAAACGGAACAAAGTTTCATATCTTGTCGATTCTTAACACGACTTTGTTACTTTCTCATGCAGCTCGGCATGATCACGCTACTTCATTGTCTTGAACTATTTCGAAGAGTAATGACTACTCCCCCAAACCAATACGAGTCTTTTTACTATGTGTTGTACTCCCTCACGTATTTTCGATAAAACATCCTAAAAAGACTCGTGGTTTATTTGTTGGGATAGTAATCTTCATTCTTAGTAACAATCTAAATTTCAAATTGTTATCCGAATCTTTGGCATGTGGCGATATAGTTAACGTTATCGGAAACCAAATTGTTAAAATGAAAAGGGATACATACAAATTGGTTGATGGAAGGATGCAACCATCCTCTTTGAATTGCTTTCAAAGTGGCAATAGCTTCCAAACCTCCAGCAGCAGCAAGGGAGTGCCCTATCATAGACTGAAAAGTAATGGCAACCAGATGAAGCATTAGCAAACCAGAGGATATGGCGAGTAGGGAGAAAGAAGAGACATTGCCTTAGTAGCATTGATTTTGAGCTCTGATGTATTCTTAAACACCTTCTTTATAGCATTAATCTCAGCTAAGTCACCAGCAATGGTAGATGTTGCATGTGCATTAATATAGTTAACCTACAAATGAAACCAACATACATGAAATCGCTACACTATTCACCAAGAAACAGAACAAAAACATGGAATTGTGAGCCAACCTCCTCAGCCGATACACCAGCATCCTCAAGACAGCTCAAGATGCACGAAGACACACAAAGCCCATCAGCTCTTGGATTGGACATGTGATAAGCATCACAATTAATAGCCCCGCCCAAGTATTCGCCAACAATTGGCGCACCTCGTTTCATTGCATGCTCCAAACTCTCCATTACCAATATGCCGGCCCCTTCTCCCACAACTAAGCCATCACGATCTTTGTCCCATGGCCTAGAAGCAGTTTTAGGATCATCATTTCTCTGAGATAGAGCCCTACAAGTGGCTAAACTCCCCAGTCCAATAGGTGTGATAGCAGCTTCATATCCACCAGCAAGCACCACATCAGCCTGTCCTCGACGGATGTGATTGGCAGCAGCATAGAAGCAATAATTAGAGGTGGCACAAGCAGCGGATATACAATAAACGGGACCCATGAAACCAATATCGGTAGCAAGTAAGGCAGACCCCATATTTGTAATGCTATAGGGAATAAAAAATGGGGTTATCTTCCTTTGACCTCTCTCTAACAAAGTTTGAACACCATCGGATAAGGCTGTAAGACCACCCATCGATGTTCCAACAACCGCACCAGCCCGCTCTCTGTTGATCTGTACTAAAAATAAAACTATAAAAGATAGAAGAAAAAAGAAATAATAAACTCGAAGATCTAATAGTGTCTTAAATATATTTAATTAGTTAATTAGAATCTTATTTTAAAAAATCCACTTTCAATAACTATAACTAATTAATTTTTAAGACTAATTTTGATCAATTCATTCATTATTAATTTATCCCAATTTAAAAAGATTAAAACTAAATTTATAATAAATAATAATGAATTTATTTTTAGCAAAACCGATCATAACCAAAACAAAAAAGGGGCGGAAATAGAGCTAATAATGTAATAAAATAGAAATAGAAATAGAATTGGAAAATAGAAATAGAATTGGAAAGGTGTGTATTCTTGTTGATATAGCTATCAAGAAAATATAAACTAATTAAATATTGAAGATAAAATAAAATATATTATAAATCAAATGACACACCTTAGAGCGTTGATATCCACGGAGGTCAGCATCCTCGAGCGCCCTCTTGCCAGCAACAATGCAGTAGCGGAAGCAATCGTCAAGCCGCTTATCATTCTTGGGGTTAACGTAGCCCTCCGAAGAGAATCCCCGGATCTGTCCACCGAAGCGTGTAGGGAATTTGGAAGCGTCAAAGCGATCGATGAGAGTGATACCGCTCTCACCACAAAGCAGCCTGTCATAGTAAGCATCCACGTCGCTGCCGAACACAGAGACAAGCCCCATTCCAGTAATCACCACACGCTTCTTAGGGTCCTTCTCCCGCTTGGGCGCACCGACAGTGGAAGCCGCAGATGCAGCGACCACACAGACTCGTCGCCTGGATTTTGAAGCAGCGCCAACGAGGAAGAGTGAGCGGTTGCGGGTGCGAAATGGGCCCAATGGAGAGGGGTTGAGCGTGGTGGAATGAATGGCCTGCATGGTGCTCGGTGCTCGGTGCTGGAAAATGACGATTTCGAGAATGCAATAGAAAGGAGAGGAAAGCCACAAATATGAGTTTGGCAACTATTTATTTATACTTTTGCATATAATATATTATTGTATTTACTAGGATATTTTATATTTTTATTAAAAATTATATTTAAAAATAGAAGTTATCTATTAAAAAAATCTTTGAAATTGATATATTTTAAATATATATGAAAAGATGGGAAAATTCTCTTAATGAGAACTTGTGGGGCGTGAATATTTATTCTAGTTATGGGTAAGCATTTTGGACACGTAATTTATTACTTTTGACATAAAGGAAACTTTTATAATGTATTAAAAATATTAATGGACATTTAGTTGAATTTATTTTGAATAAAAGTTTATAAAGTGTTAATTAATTATTTAATTGCATTTATACGTATTTATTTTTTCTTTGTCTTCCAAAAAATCCTTCAATAAAAACTTTCCACTTTTGTTGGTATTCCCATACGAAAATTTTAAAAGATATGAAAAAAAAAACTAGAAAAAATATGAAAAATGAAACATTTTTGAGTCACTTATTAAAGCAAGAAAGAGAGAAAATTAAATAGGTTTTCATCCATATAAATGTGTAAATTTATTTTTAAAGGTGAAATGTATTAATCTTATTTTTAGGTATTTTTAATATTTTTTAAATAAAAATTCTGAGGATATTAATAAAATTTTAAAAATTTAATAACATTTTCAACATTTTAAATTTAAAAATGGAATTAGTTTGAGAATTTTGATGAAGAATTTTCATGAATTTTATAAAAGTTTGTGAAGTTACTCTAGCAAGATTACTACCTTTCACCGATTACACGTAGTGAGTCAATTTCAGAGTTTTAAAATACATCTATTAGATAGAGATTTACATGTTTTTTACAAAAAAATGTTTCGTTATCTCCTGACTTGTAATCTCACGATCTACCTTTCTTCCGTTATAAGAAAAATAAAACATTTTTTTTTTTTATAAGAGTGGAAAAACCTCTCCAACGGTAAAAATTTTAAAAAAATGTTAGAAATTTATGAGTTTATAATGATTTTCTCAAATTAATATAAATATTTTTTTATTTTCAAAAGTTTTGAATTACCTTTGTTGAACATATTTCTTTTGGTGTCTTAGTCATTTTTTACTATGTGTTCGAGAAAGCTAGACTTTTTTTTTTTTCAATATTTGAGAATCTATTGACATGATTAAGTTTAGGGCATGACTCTAATAGCATGTTAGACGAACACACTCTCCATATTTAAAAGATCTATTGACACGATTAAGTTTAGGATATGGCTCTGATATCATGTTAGACGAACATACTCTCCACAATAGTATGATATTGTCTACTCTGAGCATAAATTCTCATGGCTTTAGACTTTGTACCAATGAAGAGAGTATTTTTTGATTATAAACTCATGATCATTTCCTAAATGAGTGGACCTGGGATTTTCATCGTCCAACGCTCCCAACCATCCACCACACAAACCATATAACCATGGAGTTTTCCGGTCAAAATGAGGCAAACGGGTATACTGTCGGCCATTTCTTCTACCTCCATCTACAGCGAGAAACCAACTCCATAGCCAACAAAGATGAAGCTCAAAATGTTCATTCATCTAGAGTTTTACAGAGCTACACAAACCCAAGCTCTTCCCCTCCAGATATCACAATCCAAACCCGAACTAACCCCCATAACCCAAATTCTTACAGATCATTGAAGAAATAAGAAACAAACAGAAATATCGACAAATAATTACAGAAAACAGGGGAAAAAGAGAGAAACAAGCGGAATCTAAGTTCAAAAGTGACATCCAAAGCAGAGAAAGAAGAAACAGAGTGTAGCAACAAGAACTACACCTTCCAACATAGACACAATCTTGAAAAGCAAATTATCCATAAATGAAATCTGCAAATTCGTCAGTCTCTTCCACTTGAATGCCGACCCCAATAGCTTCATTTTGCGCGACTCTCTCCTCAGCGATCGCTTGAAAATTGCCCACATCGTAGCGCTACTCCCATGCCCCTTGCTTCTCTTCGCATCCACTTCTTCGTCCATAGAGATACTCTTCACAAGAACAAACTTGGGCGAAAGAGCTCTGTAACGGTTTCTGTTTATAAATGAGCCGTGGCATGGGAATCGCAAATTTGATGTTCGACGGAGGGCTTTTCCGTAATTTGTCATCGCTACAATTTTCTTTTTATTTTTTCAATATAGATATTAGAAGAAACTCAAACTTCAAAATATTATGAAATGTTATTATGCTTTTCCTATAAAAGTTCAACCTTACATTTTTCTCTTTAAATACGATAATTATAGTGTGTTAGAACGAACACGACTCTTCACAATGGTATGATTTTGTCCATTTTGAGCATAAGATCTCATGGCTTCCCAAAACAAATGTCCCACGCGAATGGAAAAAGTATTCTTTGATTATAAACCCATAATAATTTCCTAGCTCTCATGAATTTACTTACTTCTGGTGGCTTTGCTTTAGAATTCTCCAAAAGGTCTCACATCAATGGAGAGAGTATCATTTAATTATAGACCTATAATCATTTCATAAATTAACAGATGTGGGACTTTCATCATTCAACAGTGTGCAACAATCCTAACGAATTTTTCTCATGGAAAACTTTGCGATAATAAAGATTTACACGGAGAAGCAAAAACAAGAATAGAGAATTAAAACAAACCTGGAGATAATGGGACCATCTAGTATTGAATCTAAACTTTTAAGTCGAACATGTGGAAAAGAAAAATGAAGTGTAGGGAGGGTTGTAGAGAGGGGGTGGTTACTTTAGAGTTTTAAATATGGATCCTTGAATTTGGATTCTTGTTAGCCTCTAGAATTTGAATAGGAAAAGACCGGTTGACAGCAAAGAAAACGTGTGGGAGAATATATTCCGCCATTTAAAAAATTAAAACTATCGCGGTAAGAACAAAACCAAATCTTATTAGCTTTAGTCTATATGATATGATCGTTACTGAACTTTTAAACTAAATAAAACTACCATTTATATTAATAAATTATTATTTGTAGTTCGATCGTAAAGACTTTATAGTAAACATGTTTAGTTTGGATCAACGTGGGATAACTTCTCAAAAAAAATTCTATAAATTATATGAGTGAGTATAAAATATCTGAAAGAATCGTTTGGTTGAAAGTTTTGTTTAGAATGACTACAAAGAATGTCCGAGAATAAAATGACCGAAAGTATAAATTGAAAAGAATAAAGTTGATTTTAACTTTTTATAAAATAACAATCCCACTCATCTAAATTTATTTGTAATAATTTAATCTTTTTAATTTCGTGCTAATTTAATATGTAAATTTTTATAAGTAATAATTGATTATTTTAATTCCACTTCTATATTGAAAATATCATCATTTGTAAGCATGTTTAATTGTTAATTAATTTATTAATTTATATTTATAAAGACTAAATTGTTAATTATTTAAAAATATATGAACTAAATTGTGTATACTAATTAAATTTATTTAATAATTGAGTGTTTCTCTTTTCAAGTTTTATCTCATAACTAGATATTTGGTAATAATTATGTATATTTTTAAAATTATTTAAGGATATTGTTTATAATATTTTTGTAATGTTTTAATTGTTAATATAAATATTATTATGAGATTTGAAATTTTAACTTTAGGATATTTATTTAGTTATTTATCTTTTGATTGACGTCAATAAAAAAACATTTAAAAACTTTCCAATTATGTTATATTAGAAAGGGAAAAAAGAAGTAAAACTTAGGATTTTTTGTTTTATATGTATATATATTAAAAAGCAAACAAAAATTAAAATCATTGCATATTTTTTTAATTTGTTTTAACAAAATCTGAAAATAAAACTACAATAAAAAAAAACAATTTTAATTGATTATCAAATGAAGACTAATTTTTTAAATAACTAAAAATCAGAAGAAATAAAAATATATTTTAATACAAAATCAAGGCTACATTTAAAAAAAAAATCATTCGAGGATAATTTTTGTATTGAATTTTATGATAAAAATGAGATGAAAAATAAAACGAAGCAATTAAAATAATCACATTTTAAAGATATATAGACTAAAATAGACATGGATAAAAATGGTAAAAATGGATTAAAAAATAAAAAGAACGACGAAAATAACATTTTTGTAAAGTGTGATAAAAACAATTGATAAAAACCTTACTAAATTAGACAAGAAAATTAATTTTTTTAAAAAAATACAAAATCAATTTTTTTTAATTTTATTTTTAACCAAATTAATTATAACAAAATATATGTAATATGCATTTTTTTTCTTTCTTTTTGAATATTAACCATTTCTATTACAATTACCATATAATATTTATGTGGGTATTTTTAATATAATTATATTTATTAATATAATATTTTTTTAAATTTAACTAATAAAAGTACGAACAATCAATCAATTAAACTATATTCAAATTGATTGTAATTTATATTTAAAGAATAATTCAAATCATATTTACATATAATTCTTGATTTTAGATGTTTTATTTCTTTCTTTCTTTCTTTCTTTTTTTTTTTCTTCCTAAATTAAAATCATGAAACATATTAAAATGTTCAAAATAAAATTAAAAAAATGCACGGAAAATTCTCAAATTGAGGTTTTGGAAGCGGACGCATCCGCCTCCACGACTGGTTCATTAGCAAGCAGCAGCAACGAAGACGACGCCTCCAACTCGCTCTCTTTCATGCTCACATTCTGTCGCAGCCTTTCCAACGATTCCTTCAATTTCAAAAGCTCGTCCAAATCCAGATCCTCGATTTTGATCGATTCTCCTCTCGATTTCATCTCCTTCTCCAGCATCTCTCCCTTCTTCTTCTCCAATTGTAATTGTTTAACCAGATCGATAAGTTCCTCATTCTCCTTCTCGAACATTCCTTCGCTCGCTGGCGGAATCGGCTCCGATTTGCGATTTAGGTATCGATCGACGACGTCCTCGACGTTTGGATTCCCGAATGAGAACGCCTTGCCGCCAGGAGAGAAGACGATAATGGCGATCTCTAAACCGCACAGAGTAGCGAGATCGTTCGCTTTCTTGAAGAGACCGTTTCGGCGCTTGGAGAAGGTAACTTGTCTGGAGCCTCTATCCTTCACCATCTTCATCTCGATTTTTCGCCTCCCCATTGATAACGTACTTTATAGTCTTTCCACTGAAAAAATTAACCGATCAGAGATTGATTTCTGAGGAGATCTGTGATTCCGATCGAAAACCAGAGGTGTTTTCTTCAATGTTTCTAATATCGGATTTTAGTGTCTGTTTTATACATATTATTTTGTTCATTTTGTTTGCTAACATGGAAAGCTTTTAAATCTCTTTCTAAATTTGTCTGGTTGTTGGAAATTCGAGATTCCGATTACGTTCAAGGAGGTTAATGTCCCTGAAATTTCAGAATTCGATTTCAATCGCAAGAAATATATCTCTTTCATCTCTGATTGAATATAATTTCTCTTACATCGTGGACTGAAAATAATATCACTGGTAAGAAATATCTCTCTTCTATCTCTGAAATAATTCTCTCTTTTTCTTCTTCTTATGGTTGTTTATATACATTAAATCGAAATGAAAATAGATGATTGCCATAGAATTAGTATGTCTTATTGCATTTTATTTACTTGCTAATTTATTTTTTTGTTCTAATTTTTAAAATTTTACCGATCTATTTCAAATTTCAATCTTCATATAGGATTAAAACCATGAAGAAGTCAAAACGTAGTAGAGCAGAGACCAAACGAGGAAGAAGATTGAAAAATTCATGTAGCGGCAATAACGAGCCCGACCAAACCAGTAAGTCCACCGACGCGAGGAGCTACGCCTTCAAAGAGGCAATGTAAATGGTGCGATTGTCTCTGGGTCAAGTTCCGATCATTCAGGTGTCAAAGCAAGCGGCATTGCGAAGGATAAGAGTGGGGGAGTCTTAAGTCTTTTGATTCTCAAAATGGGTCTCCCAAGCCATTTTCCTAGCTAAGGGGTGGGCCGTCAGCTTGATGTGGAAGTTGGTGCTTTTAGGAATCAAAACTGCTGTTATTCGTGTGGCCATTATGCTACGCTTGATGAACACGACTCTCTACAATAGTATGATATTATCTACTTTGAGCATAAGCTCTCATAGTTTTGCTTTGGGCTTTTTCAAAAAGTTTCTCAAAAAGTCTCGTACCAATGGAGAAAGTATTCTTTGATTATAAATCTATAATTATTCCTTACCTTAGCCCATAAGGTGGGACGTTCTGACCTCATCATCCTCATCATCCGATCAGTTACCATTAACCTCATCATCCAACATTGATGTTACCATTGACCTCATCATCCAACACCATGTTACCCCACCTCATCATCCAACACCATGTTACCATTGACTGTCACCATTGACCTCATCATCCAACACTGATGTTACCATTGACCGTCAGAGTCATGTTGTTTAGAACATCATCCAACATTGATGTTACCATTGACCGTTACCATTGACTGTCACCATTGACCTCATCATCCAACACTGATGTTACCATTGACCGTCAGAGTCATGTTGTTTAGAACATCATCCAACATTGATGTTACCATTGACCGTCACCATTGACCTCATCATCCAACACTGATGTTACCATTGACCATCAAGGTCATGTTGTTTAGAATTAAGATGATGTAAATGAAATGAAGCGTTTTAGTCTAGAGTGAGACAAAGTTGAGCCAAATTGGTCTAGAAAGTCAACTAGAGTTCTTGACTTATATAACCAAATGAATATGCAAAAAAATAGAATAAAAGTTAAAAGTAGAGACGGTCGAAAAAGTATATTAAAATATAAAATAAAATAGTATTTAAACATTTTATTTACTTATTAGTTATGTTTATGGAACATTGACAAATTTGGTTGGTACAATTCACACATGATGGATGAATTTTTCCAAGAGGGAAATAAAATAACTTCCAACTGATTCTCGCATTAGATTCCCATTTTATAGCAATACTAATTAACTGGTATTTTACATTTGTTTGGCTGTAAATTTATAATAATATTCGTTTTTTTTTTAGTTGTTTTTTTTTTCAATTAAAAAATAATAATAAAGAGTGAATAGAGATTTAGAGAGAAAAATATATAAAAGAAAATTGTTTTTTTTAATCATTATATAATAGTAAATTCAAACACACGAGAGACAAATATTTACATAAAAATTTAGGAGATTTTTAGATTTAGAATATTAGTTATATTTTAGAGAAAAAGCAATTAAATAGAAAGAGAAACTCTTTACTGAGAATAAAATATATTTTAGAAAAATAAAGAAAAGTCACAGGGAAAGAAATTTAGAGATATATTTATTAGAGAGAGAATAAAAAAAATTTCATTTTACCTGTATTTTCAAATATTTATTTTAAAACATAATTAATTATCAAGCAACTTTGTTTTTAAGAATGAAAAACTAAGGGTCCACTATAGAAAATACTCACTAATTATAGGGATTGATTTCAACTATAGAAAATACTAAAAAAAAAAAAAAATGAAAAACTTTTTTACCACTACTTCACTTGCATCATAATCTAATCTTGGAAATTTAGATGCTAGTTGTCCCTTTATCGAGCCTCACAATGTGATTGTGCAACACTTACTCTTACTTTCGAGTAAGCCAACAAACTAAATTTGGGTCTCTGTTGACACCAACAACGTATGTTCAAGCCTCTACTCCTGCATTAAGAAAAAAGTTTTAGAGAACAGAGCCACAAAAAATATTCGAAAAATCATTTTGAGATAGCAATGTTACAAGCTAACAAGCAATGGGTAACAATAACGAAATTGATAGATTGTAATCAAGTAGGAAGAATTGTCAATTAATCACATCTTCTGTAATACATTTTAAAGCCTTTTAGCTTTCGAAGGTATAAACATGGTTTTGGCAAGCCATCATGGAGTCCTAAATTGTAGTATTATAAATAATAAAGAACTAGCAAACATGAATGCTAGTAAAATAGGTGTGGAACAGGTTGCAACTATAGTCAATATGTTATGGATAAGTATGATTCGAACATCAAATACGTGACCATATGCAATATGACTTGAATGAGTATGACTGTAACACTAGTCTTAGGAACGAAAATCGATATCAACGAAGGAGAAATCAGAGATAGTGCAAATTTTGAAGATTTAAATTAAATATAATGGTAGTTTAATTGAAAAATTATAATTAAATTTAAAGTTCATTGCCAATATTCAACAAAATATAAATTAAATTAATGGTTAAAATACACTTCAATAATCATTAGAATGGGATTGAACAAAAAGAGGCGAGAAAATCTTGATGAGGGCGGGGGAAAAGAATTTGCCGTGAGAATGAGGGAAGCATTTTGTCCCACATCGTTTAACTCCAAAATCGAGGACAAGGCATTGGGTATAAAAGGGGCGCGCACTCTCATTATTAATCATACCTTTCTCGGCCTTTTGGCTAAGATCAAGTGTAGTATCTGTTCTTATCAGTTTAATATCTGATACGTGGGCCATCGGCCCACATGATATTAAATTAATTTTTTATGGGGGAGGGCCCAAATCAGTAGCTTGCTACTGGGGTCCTCGAGCGTCGCCCAAGCGTTGCACTACAGCTCGGGCCTGGCTCTCCCCTCTAATTCATAGTAAAAAAAATTTACCTTCTCGCGAGTAGGGCCATGGGTAATAATATGTTGGCCGTAAAGTTATTTAATTCTAATATTTAAATTTAATTATCGAAAACCTATTGATTGATTGATTCACTCTAAATATTCATTGTAGTTTATTTAAATTTATTTATCAAAACCTACGGTTTATATTAGTAGTAATTGTTGGTTTATGAAAACTATTGAACAAAATAATTCTATATTTTCTAAATTTGTTGCTAGCATTTAATAAAAACCACATAACATGAAAATTTTACTTTCTATGTAATTTTTAATGATTGTGGAAATGAATTTTCAAGCAATTTATATTAGTAAAGTTTTAGGAAAATGCAATATGAATAAATAAATAAATAAACAATCCAAAATTGATACCTTAAAAGTTTCAAGACATAAGGAAAGGTCGACTCGGAGACAGTGTTCATTCTTGGGAGCGTACATTATGGAGAAGCTGAAGTCACTGGTGCCGGAGAATTTGAAGCAGACGGTGGGTTCAAGCACCGTCGATGATCTTCCCTCATCGTGTTCTTTCTTATTACGCCTTTTTCAGCAATCCCAGCTCTTCTTCCAAGTAAGCTTGGTTGCAAACGGCCTCGTATTTCTCTTCCATTTCTCTCTGGAAAAGTAGGTAAATTAGCATATGGGTTACGCTTCCAAGGTAACTCTGGAGGAATATGGGCAATTTTAGATGATGGGTTTTGTCTCCAACGTCACAGGTCATCGGGGATTTGGCAATGGACCCTGAAAATGCTCTCTGTGGTAAGAAGAAGGACGCCGCTCTGGAGTTGAAGCGCCAGGGAAATCAATGCTTCTTGAAGGGGGATTATGCTCCTGCGTTGGTTTATTATTCCCAGGTATCCAAGTTTCATTTATTTTCCAGTTTGTGCGGAAAACTGGTTTTTCTTGTGCCAATTCATAGTGGGTTAGTGTTAGTTTTATAGATTTCAGGATTGACCTACAACTTCAACTTACAATGAAGGATGAAAATTAGTATTATTCAAATGCTTTATTCCAGGATTGTTTTACACTACAACAGTACACATCACTAAGTTTCCCTTATAACGTCCACAGGCACTGCAAGTGGCTCCAATGAATGCTGTTGACATGGATAAGAATTTGGTTGCAACCTTATATGTGAATCGAGCATCAGTTTTGCTTGTGAGTTCAGTCCTTCGGCTGATTTATACTTCATGGAAAACTATAATAAAAGAGAAAAAGTAATTAATTATTGCAAATTGATGTATGAATTGAGTGATTTAGGTTCCTCCATTGACGCTAATCCATCTGCTTTATGCTTCCTTCAGAAAATGGATCTGCAATTGGAGTGTTTACGTGATTGCAATAGAGCACTTCAAATTTCATCAAACTATGCAAAGGTGAAATTAATTTCATATCATATTATGTTTGTGGATATTCCTTATAATCCACTTGTTGTTCGATCTTCCCTGTTGTCTTATTATTTCCATTAGCCATATCTTGTTTTTTTTCTTGTTC